TAAAAATATCACATTTTTTTCTTTTAATTATAATATTAAAATACAAAATTATGTAAATAATAATGTAAAGTGAAAAGTTAGGGGGAACTTTCCTCCCAACAAAACATGCTCTTAAAATATTTTCATTCATAGGAACTGCAATATTACAGGAATAAATTGGTTTATATGCTTAAGGATTTGAAGTTACAAAATTAAAATTGTCTTGAAATAGATTAAACTAAACATATAATTAAATTGAATCAAAGAAATTTTAACTATTTACAAATAAGAAAATAAACTTATATTTATGTTTTGGAATAAAAAGTCAATTATAAAAAATTATTGGGTGAATTTGAAGGAATTCTGACCCAATTAATGGAGATTTGTGATTGTAAAACTTTAAACATAAGATATTGGGTTTATGGTATTAGCTAGTATTTATGTACAAACACTAGCTATATATCTAGTACTTACTAAATTAATTTGAAGTAAAAGTTACTGTTTTCCAATGGGAACCCTTGGACTTATTTTTGAAAACTTCAAAGTGTAGGAGAATATTCAAAAACAGAAAAAGCAACCACCATCTTTTCCAATGTGTATAAAGGCTGTGATGGAGGTGGATGCATATTATCGTTGGAAGAAAGCAAAAGAACATGATATCACTCAGGTTATATATTCTGAGATAAGATAAGGTGTTGGAGTAGTGGGGTCATCGCCAATATTCACTTTCTATGATAAGAAAGTGTGAATCGTATGTTCCTTCTTATCCATTTCCAATTCAACAAACAAAGCCATTCATTTTTAGCCCGCATCAATCCTATACTTGAATAGACCTTAATTTTGTTGGTTTATATTATAAACAAATAAAAGGATTGGATCGAAAAGGAATTAGTTTCGGGTGCTTACAAGTTCACCTGAGAACACCCTAACGTCAGGTATGCAGTCAATCATGTGTTAATCATGGATTCAGCAATTAAAGTTTTTGTAAACAAAACTGCAGATAATTTTCATCCCTTCTTCCGGATTTTGTCTCTGATGATTCCTCATTGTTCAGGCTGAGCCTTGAAAAAGCATTAAAGTTTCTCGCCCGATTCTCGTTGCCTTTTCGATCCACTATATAAATCCCCAAGCTACCAAACAAACTATGTTCTCCTCCAAAAACTGCAATAATATTCCTGAGCGCTTTTGGTCCTCTAAGGTGAGCTAGAAGATGAAGAAGAAGAAGAAGAAAGAAGAAAAAAAAAAAGAGTTTTATATCATAGATGATTTGTCTAAATTACTTAAATCAGTTATCTCTATGGTTTTTCGCAGTTAATATAGCTAGCTAGCTGTAGAAGATCATGAGCAGGCCAGGAGATTGGTACTGCGGGTCATGCCAGCACCTCAACTTCCAGTGGAGGGACTCCTGCCAGCGCTGTGGGGAGCCAAGACCCAGCTGGGAGAGAAGTGACGGTGGAATCTGTGGTGGCGGCAGGGGTAGCTCCGGGTTCATTCCAGGCCCTGATGTCAGACCTGGTGACTGGTACTGCACTATGCCCAACTGTGGAGCTCACAACTTTGCTAGCCGCTCCAGCTGCTTCAAGTGCGGTGCTACCAAGGATGAATCCTCCACTAGTGCCCGTGTGCATGAAGGCAGTGACATGTCGCGTATGAGGGGGTTTGGCTTAAGCAGTGGCAGCACCAGTCGCACCGGATGGAAATCTGGCGACTGGATTTGCACAAGGTAATCAACCTGAGTTCAATTTCTCCTTAAAACACCTCGGCTGTACGTACCTTTTTGCACAAGGTGGAGATATGCATCTAAGCTAATAATCTGAGACATTGATACTGGACAGGTCGGGTTGCAATCAACATAACTTTGCTAGCAGGATGGAATGTTTCAGATGCAATGCACCAAGGGACTCCGGCAACAAATCTTCTTAGTGATCTATTTCCCTTCAAGCAGAAAGATTGTTTCAATATCCATGAGTTCTAATCATTAAGATAACTATTATATAAATTGCAAACCAAAAATACTCTAAAAACAATGAAAACGAAAATACAACAATGACAAAACATCAACATGGCTGGAAACAATGATCTCTATGCCATTTTATGGCTATTTAGACAGCAGCCACAAGCATTAACATGTTATTTATAACATTTTCTCCTTCATTGAGCAAGGGAAACTGAATGATCAATTTGAGCAAATATAGCTTTTTCCGGAAATGTTACAATTTTCAGCTCTATCTGGTATCTGAGTAACAATAATAGAGAACAACTGTTCACAAATAGTGGTTTAGAATTTCATATCATTTCAGCTTAGATTTTGAAGAGCTCTGGAGAGGCTTTGCCATTGGTCGAGCAGGGACACTTTTCATAACTTTCTTCACATCATATTTTATAGATGACAAGGCACAAATTAGGGCAATCAACATTGTCGGATAAACATACACAGCTTTTGCAGGATCTGTATTCACTGGCTTTCCCAAGATCCCCTCCTTGACAAGACCCCAGATTACCAGTAGTGTCCCAAACATGCTCATTCTTCCAGGTTTTAGTATACCGACCAGTGCTCCTGCCACAGAGAAGTAACTTCCTGCAAGAACCTGCAGGAGAACCACATCTTCAAGATGAGATTATTAAGCATAGAGGTTTTAGACAATATTGGCCTACAAAAGAGCACACGTATTTGACATAATAGAAATGAAAAACATTAAGATGCTTGTTGGAGCCTTGGAGGGGAAATCCAAATTTTCTGCAATTTTTTTTTTTTGGGGGGGGGGGGGGGGGGTGTTGTGGGAATGGGGTGTCGTTGTGTCGTTGCAAGAGAAGGGACCATCAAGTTATGAAACCTGTCCTTTATGTTCAAAATACATGATTAAAACATGGAAACCCAATTAGATGGCTTTCTAAGGTAAAGGGTTTGCATGGATGGATTATCATCATGGTAATGCAAAATTGTGAAATTCAGGGAACTTCATATACAAGAAATGATTAGGTTAAAATTGTGTAGATACTTTTTCTCAATAATTTGGTTGCAAGTATATAAGGAACAGATAAGAATAAGTTCTAATGACTCAATATGGCAAGTTCTGCAAACAATTCAACACTTAGAAGTGAATGCATCTCTGTTTGGGAGTTATGATGTCAAAACTCAAACGACAAACCACCACATGGGTAACTTCTAATATTTATTCATCTTGTTACCAATGACATCAAAATAAAAAAAAATTCTATCTAAAATTCATTTCTGTTTTCTGTAAAGTAGATTATGATTTTCATATATAAGTTTGTGGATGGAAAGCTATGTGCTTCTTTCCTAATAGCAGAACAGTAAATGTTCGACTAATACTGTATTTGGTTAATAAAAAAACAAATACTATATGCATTAAAATAGAAAATTATGAAGAAAACCAGAACCTCTAAGCGTTGAAGATCAGTGGCTGCTGGGGCTTCCTTGGAATTGGTCAAATTATAGATGTTTAACAGATTGTTCCAGCTAGGAATAGTCATGTTCCTGACAAGGCCATTTGCAATGGCTCCAGGGTACAGCAGGGCCTTCACTACCGCAACAGGAAAGATCTCACTTGCAATCAACTGGGAGGATATGACATGAATTGGTGTTGAGCACATACCAGATCTGCATGGAACCCTGCCAATGAAAAACAAATCGTAAGGTTAGAGCTTGAATTTGGCATTGAGTAGACTACAATACTTATCTATGACTACAAAGTTCTGAGTCAAGATTGCCATGGATGAAAACAGATGTGTATGCTAGTTTGTTGCCATCACCATCATTAAGAAAACAAACAAGTCCAAGACAACAAACCTAAATTTTGATAAAATTTCAAGAAAACCACTAAACTTAAATTTGATTGCCTAAAACAAGAGAAGTTACTAACATATCATTGTGAGACAAATATTTTCACATCAAGAATGAGGAATTGAAAGCTAGACACCATAATTCAACAGTATGGTCATTGAATTTCATGATATTCAAATATTTACTAGCAGTAAAAGTAATGGATACTCAAATATGAGTGCTGCACAAGGTACTAGATTTATTAATCATTTTAGAGATCTCATATAGTCTCCACTAAAATATAATGTTTCTATCCACAGAACTGAAATAGAAAACAGCATCGTGCATCCATGATTTTACTGCACTGATGCAGCCAGTTTTACTTCTTTTGATTGTCTTTATGGGTTACGACTGCCTCCCAAAATATGGCTAATACACAGAACCGCTACAATCCTAGCCCATAACTTCTAAAATCAACTTGAGATCCACACCAATTTGATTTAGACAAGGTAAAACTCTTGATGATAATAGAAAAATCCAGAGAGTCATCAACAAAATTGAAATCCAGATTATATGATGCAATAAATCTTTCTACATCCATTAAAGATTGAGTAACAAACTTGAATTGAGACCTCAAGACCAGAAAATAAATTACACCAATTCTGCAAGAATCTCCAAAAGTCAACCTCAAATCTACTACGTAATAAATTGAGTGTGTTATAAAATATAGATTCAAGACCAATCCAATATGTCTCTGTATCATCCACATGGCCAAAGCTTCTTCGATACTTTCTTTACCTTAACCAAATCCAAAGATATCCCAACAAGCCACATCCTAAAACAAGCTAGGCAACTAAGACCGTTTTCCAAAACATGAACAGAAGCAAGTTTGAGCAAAGACTGAGAGTACAAAAAAGACAAGCATACCCAGAAAGGAGCATCCTAAAGAGAACATTAGACAAATCAACACAAAACTTCAAAATAGCCAATACCCACGTGTTATATACGGAAATTAAGCAAATCTGCGTAATACCCAGATTGAGAAACAACTTAGCATTCCGAAACCATTACAAAGAACCAAAGGAGTTGAAGCCAGTGTGCAAGGGAAATGGTATTTCACCTGAAAAGAGGGATCTGAAGAATGATTAGGAAGAAATATATCCGAGATGCTACAGAGGAAATACTTCTCACCCATCCTCTCGACGATGTAGTCGCCATTCTTGACAGCAAAAGAGACGAGAAACCTCACGAGAGAGACAACGAGACGAAGCGATGCTGCGAGCCTGTGACTGAGAGAGAAGAGCATGAATTCTTAATTTAAGGAGAAATTCTTAACTTAGCCCCCGAATTTATCACAGTTTCTCAGTTCAGCCTTCTAATTGAATTTTGGGCCAATTTAAGGCCAAATAAAAGGGGTGTCGTTTTCTGGTGAACAAAACAAGGTGGAATCCAGTTGTTTCTCAATTAAAATCCCTTAGATGGATTCACCTTTTTTTTTTTTTTTTACATTTAATTATAAATGATATAAAAAAAATAACCACTTTATATTCTCAAATCCCTTCCTACTCACAAGAATTTACATTATAAAATCACCTTTATACTTTCTGCTTCACCACTACTTAACCTTAAGGTTAAAACCCTTTTTGGTCCCCGAACTATTGTACG